ATTGTTGGACGAAGGTGCCGTTCTTCACATTTATGATCCCAAGGTCAGTTCTTTCTCTTTTTCCATGCATAGTGAGTTCCACATGTTTTAGACTTCTTTTTAAAGAGAGAGTTTTTTAACAGATTTTTTTAACAGATTTCTCTCTCTCTTGATTGCAATTTATTATAAGTCACATTTATTAATTTTTTTATATTTTATGTTTCATCTTCAATTTCATTTTAAATTAAGTTTTAGAGCTTTATGGAAAAATTAAAATAAAGAAATATTAAAAAAATATAATTATATAACAAAATATCTTTTAATATAATTTGTATTTTTTATATTAAATTTTTTAATTTAAAATTATTTAAAATTAATTTAAAATTATTTTTTAATTAATTAAATTCCGAAGATTTTAGATTTTTAAAAAAATATGTAATTTAAAGACATTCTACATACGAGTACATCAAGCAAATTTATATATGAAATAATATTTATATATGAAATAATATTTTTATATATATAAAAAAATTATGTTTTGTTTCATATATTTTATATCCTCCATATACTTTTTATAATGTTCAACTTTAATTAAACAATAACTTTTACAAAAGAATATTGAAGAATATTTTACTAATACATTCTGTCAAATAAATACCGAGAATTGTTCATTTTAAAAATCCGCGTAAAAGATATGAAAACAAATTTTTTGCTATAAGTTGGTACCAATGTACCTAACAGGCTAGGTTCAGCAGAAAAAGCAGCAAAGCAGTTTTGCTGCTTTTTCTGCTAAACGCAGCCATTGTCACGTAGAGTTTTAGCGCCATTTATCAACTAGTTAGTTTACTACTGTTGGTTTTGTTAGTCGATCTCATCTGTGCTCCGCGATTTTTAAAAAGGATATAAAAGAACAAAAACATATCTTTATATATTTCTCCGTACCAAGATATTTCCTCGAACATTGTGTTGCCAACAAAATTTCTTGGGCTGAATCGTTGGAAATATTGGAGATGGTCTACGATGAGTCAGCTTTATCGAAAAGACAAGCATACGAGTGGTACAAAGAATTCAAAGGCCGAGAAGTGGTTGACTTGCCTCGTTCCGATTGATCTTCAACGTCTTCGACTGACGAAAACATCGACGAAGTGAAGGAAATGATGATAGAAAATCGTCATTCAAGCTTAAGAGAGATGACTGAGGATCTAGACAGGTCTCACGAATCTGCTCGCACCACTTTGATGTTTTAAGCATGAGACTCATCGCGGCACGGCTTGTTCCGGAGGAGCTGAATTTTCTTGAAAAAGAGCACCGCAAACAGGTCGCTGAAGATATGCTTGAACGAGCCAATTCAGACTCTACATTCATGAAACGCATTATAACGATCGACGAGACATGGATTTGTGAGTTTGACAAGGATGGAATTTGGAAATGGTTCTTCTATAACAAGCTGAAATCGGAACTATCGGAAAAACTAAATCAAAGTAACTTGAAAATCAAAGTCATGTTGACTGTTTTCTTTGATTATCGTGGTGTTGCCCATTTGGAACTCCATTCGGAAAGACGAACATTCAACAAACAATATTATCTGGGCGTTATGAAGCGTTTGAGAAAGAATATTCGCTGGAAAAGGCCAAATTTATTTGAAGAACAATTCTTGGATTTTGCATCATGATAATGCCGTCCTATACAACGACCCTTGTACACAAATTTTTGACCGAAAACTCAACGAGTCATCAAAACTAAGCACCGTATTCGCCAGATATGTCCTCCCATATGATTTTTTCCCCAAACTCAAATTATCACTTTGTGGAGAATGTTTCTTCTCCATTGAAACCATAAAAGAAGAGTTACAGAACTATAGACCATATCGGAAAGTACTTATAAGAAGTGTTTCGACGACTGGATTACTCGTTGGCATAAGTGTGTCGCATCAAATGGAGCCTATTTTGAAGACGACAAAATAAATTTGGATAATTAAACCAATATTTTGTGTTTTATTAATTCTCGGTATTTGTTTGACAGAATATATAATTGCCGAAAACAATGCATTTTTTACATATATCTTTTTAATTTATAGGTTGAAGAAACTCAGATCATTCAAGACTTGACTCATCCAACCGTAACGAATAATCCTGAAAATGTAAAAAGTCGAATTAGTATTTATAAAAATGCTTATAGTGCCACAAAGAATACACACGCGATAGTTTTATGTACGGAATGGGATGAGTTTATCGTAAGTAGGAAAAAAGAATATTTGTATAATAAGTATTGCGATTATATTTAATATTATATTAACATAAGATAATAAAAATTAGTTATTATTTCATTGTCCTAATATTTAATTTTTAGGAATTGGATTACACGCAAATTTACGCAGATATGATGAAGCCAGCGTATATTTTCGATGGCAGAAAAATTTTAAATCATGATCGATTACAAAGGATCGGTTTCGTTGTTCAAACTATTGGTAAAAAGCTCATAAGATCCGCAATTTCGAGAGCATGGGGTAGCCAGACGCAAGCTTAAGAAATGGACCAAACTATAAGCAATACTTCCAATTTGATAAAAAGTATCAATGATTATCGCAAGAATTTTGTTGAATTAATCGAAACATTTGATCGAAACATTAGTATGTATGTAAGATGTTCAATTTTACTATTTTAACGAATAGATACGTTTATCTCCTAATAGACGTATCGATACAGACTGTGCATCGTAATGCAGATTTGATTACATATAAATGGTAATATTTTTT